AAGAAAAAACCTAAAAAAACATTAAGATTTCGCTCATAGTTTCGATTTTTACTACTAACGGAATTGTTTTTTGAATTTATTATGTTTCTCCCGTCCATGATTTTTTTGAATTATTTAGAGTTTTTTAAACGAATATCAATCATTTTTCTAATAGATATACATTTCATCTTATATTGATGTCCATATTTATCTTAATTCTATCCCTGTTTTTTTTTTTTAAAAAAAAAATGTTTCTTTTTTTATGGGTATTGTTTTGATTTGATTTTAATATCCTTCATTGGATATTTAGAACTATAAACAATGAAAAAGGTAAAATAAAATGTCTGAGTATTATGTTATAAAATCTTCCTATGAAGCATGATAATTTTTTTCTTTCCTATATTCTTTTTTCTTTTCTAATATTACGTCTTTTTCTTTTCGTTTTTTTTTTACTTTTAAATTTCATTTTCTTAAGATGTTGGAAAATTTTTTACTATTTCCATTTTAACATTTATTATATACAAAATAAAATATTCATCAATCTTTTCAAAAATTCGGAATCATTTTAATGAATAAAAAAAGAAAGAATTTGAAGTTATAGTATAATTATAAACCATAAACGTAGCAAATAAATTATATGATTATGTTCAGTATTCTAAATACTGTACCCGTCATTATATCGGTTCGACCAGTTTTACTATCTATTTTACCGTTATTAATAAATACCGAGGAATGCTAAACAAACTAGAATGGGTAACTTGCCGCTCGATGCGATAAGAAGAACACAGCTTCTATTCTCAAGTCAGCATTAGCCTTTCTTTCAACAAAGTAGACTTTTTCATTCCCTAACTGGGCTTTTTCGACAAGAATGACGACTGGAGCCATGGACCCCAAGTGTAATGACTCTTTTTGCTCTTTCTTCAAGGTATGACGCTACGTCGTTTCACTGCAGCACCTGTGCTATAAACCGGCGACGATCTCGACCTCGGTCGAATGAAGGAAGAAAGATTGGGCGGTATCGTATATAAGAGAAAGAATTTAGGAGCGATCTCTTGCAGATGTGGGTGGAGGAAAACTGACGAGACCGAATCTCATAAAATGTTAAATTAATTTGTTAATATAATATAAATAATGTACAAAATTAACTTTAATTAATATTAAAATTAATTAACATCTAATAACAATGTAAACATATTAAAATAAAGTGTAAAACTTTCAATTTAAATAAAATAATTAATGAAAATATATTAAAAATATTTTTTTTAAAAAAATTGGCATAAATCGGTATTTTGGCCGATAAAACTGGTAATTTTTCGGTATGAAACCGGTATAAATCGATATTTTGGTAAAAACGGTATTTAGAGTGTAACCGTACCGGTCGGACCACTGGTATCCGGTATTACCGGTAATACCGGCCGGAACGTTACTGTATTTAAAACATTGATTATAATATTTATATTATTTTGAAATCAAATATTTTGTCAGTTAATTAAGTTTTCAAACATTCCTAAAAAAATTTTAATCTATGTATAAGTAATTATAATAAAATAATATGTCAATCCTTCACATTTTTATTTTGTGCACAATAGATTTAACAATAAAATATATACTTTTTATCTAAAACCTTTATGATTACTATCATGCTTACAAAAATATATCTATAGATAAGTTAATAATAATAACCAAATATATATTATTATGATACAACAAATTTTAAAAATGAATAAAATGCATATATGTACACAATATTTATTTTGAATTTATTTAAATATTTTTTAATTATTTACATAACTAAATAACATTAATGTATATTAAGTATTTATCATTATATATATATAGAGAGAGTTAAACTTTTATAAATGTTATAAATAATAACAATAACAATAATGACTTTATACAACAATAAATTTTCTTAAAAAATAATAGTGAAGTTTTATAATGAACAAAAACAAGTAAAAATATTATTTTGTCTATATCAAAAAATAAATATAGATGTTAAAATAGTATTTATTAATATAAACTGTTATCAAGCTAACATATTCTTAAAATAAAGTTTTAAAAGATATTTTAAGAAACAAGCTCGCCGTGCATCGCACGGGATACACACTAGTTTGTATAATAGGCTTTTAAAAGTAATGCTCTCCTATCCACGGTGGACACATGTTAATATGCTCACCGTTTATGTGGCATGCACACATTGGTAATGTATTTTTTGAACATATTTACATCACCAATGTGTACATGCTACATAAACGGTGGACATATTAACATGTTCCCACCTGAAAAACAACAAAATCCCACTAGCTACGTTATATTTTTGCCAAAAATGGTAATTGAGAAAAAAAATTTAGGGACTCTACTATGTGGTGACTATATATATATATATATATATATATATATATATATATAGAGAGAGAGAGAGAGAGAGAGAGAGAGATTTTGATATGAGATATTATACCTAGAACCGGTCAAGTTAGGCGGTCGAATAAACCGAAGAAACCGCTCTAGTCGAATATATGTCAAACAGGGTGGTTGCGGTCGAAGATCACGGAAGCGAGAATCTTAAGAAGAACAGGTCGATTCCAGATCCACGGAGGATCTGGTCGAAAACCGACATATCAAACGAACGGTCGTTTGATCGGCCACTTCACAGATTAAGAGTGGTCGAACACAAGAGCCTTTGAGAAAATCTTAGAGAAATCAAAACCCCACGTGTGGAGGAAGCGCGGCACGACCTGATTGGTCCTTATTAAATAACCGTCTTTGACACGTACATTGTGTTTGTACGAACAGGCAAGCCGGACAATTTTGGGCAGCCAACTCAACATACTTGGACAACGTCCAGAAACCGGTACCTCACCTCTATATATAAAGGTGAGCTTTACGATTCACACAACATATTAATTCATTCTTATTAATGAAAATAGGAGATAGCTTGAGATTGACTTAATTGTCGAAGGCTCTTATTCATCGAAAAATTCTTCTAGTGTAAGAGTTTTTGCAGGTACTCGGCATCCAATCGGCGTAAGGGAGTTCGAGCTAGCTGTTTTGGGCCGGTTGGAGAGCTTGAAGTTACCAGATTTTATCACACTTGTTGAAAATATTATAAAAATATCAACATAATACTTCTTCTCTTGGTAAAAATAACTGATGTTGCAATTTTAAGACAGAAAAATCTTTGTTTCGCATTGAGCGGATATTAACAGATAATATATAGTATATTGATTCAAGTGACATGTGATTCATGTAAACTCGTTTGATAAATAGTAATTAGTTGTTTGACAGGTAATTAAATTAAATATAACTAATCTGAAATCATTTATCTCATAAAGATCCTCTAGCGAACTTGTTGAAATTAGCTTTTTCGTGGCAGGTTAATATTTAATTTTCTCTCAAAATTTAAATTGATCTCAAAATGCTGATTACTAAATAATATATATATATATATATATATTTTTTAGTTAGATCAGATCAGAGAACAAATACTACGGTGACGCACGTAGACGACAAAATCCCTTTTTTTCTTGTGGATCATTAATTAATGAAATAATTATGAAAAAGTTTAAGAATTTTTTTATTGTTAATTTATATGCATATATTTTTTGTGTACGTGCGAGCATGCATACACGCACGTGACCTTGAGTTGACTTCATTAAATTCATTCACAGATTAGCTAAATGTTAATTTAGGTCTTTATGTGCTCTTGCATCTCCAATCGGCTCTATCATCGACCACTTGCTCTTCAGAGACTTGCAAAGACGTCGTCGGGAGGTGTTTCCGGCGTTAAACCTCCGACGCTCAAGTCAGTAAAGGATAGATGAAAGCTATATGTATTGTTAGGGTTTGTAGAGTGCGATTAACCTTACATGCTGCCCCTATTTACCTACTTATGTGGAGTTATTTAGCTTCTCATGTACGCCTTTATTCCTCATCCGTAAGATC